TTGTGCAAGCTGGTTAGAAGTCTGCATTGAAGGAATACTTGACTGATTACTCTTTCTATCTTTTTGATTCAATTCACTTTAATAGGGGCCTTAAGTGTGGTATTGTGCATTACAGCATCAGCAAACATACAACTATAAAGCAAAGCCACAGATCCAATTCTCCCCCTCCCCCAGATTGTTGCTTATTTTTTTGGTTGGCTGTGACACAGGGTGGCCAGAGACCATATCCATCCCACAGATGGAACCTTATCCCCAGGGCTCTGTACATGCACCTTCTGCCGCACAATTTGGAGCAGATGGAGCTAAAGCCATACTGAAATAGTGTATCTGTACTGGTGTTGGGGGCCAAGTGAAACTGGAGGCTAAACTGCTTGCAGTGTCTGACAAGTCTGTGTCTGCAGGTGGACCCATGGCATGGAACTCAGTAATGTCAACTGCTGATTTCATTAATTTACATTGTAAAAACTGAAGCTTAAAATAATTAGAAAATAGTTACACTCTGGAGCAATCTTGCCCTTATGCCCATTATCTTAAAGTATTCCCAGCAGAGTGATGTAAAACTCTCACTGATAGAGTGATAATTCATCTTTAATATGTAACAGCTGTCATTTGCAGCAAACGCAGATAGCCAGCTGTGACTTAGACTCAGGTCTCCAAAAGCAGTGATCCATCTGTCCACACTGCATGCTCACAGTGATATAACCCTTCCTGTTTGGAGTGATGTTACTACAATAAATAGTTGCAGCCCTAACGCATGCAACCCATCAACCACTTGACCAGCATATCAGCTATACTCTGTACAGCCTGGCTGTATGAGAACCAAAGCAACTCAAAGTAATTTTGTGAATGTATGTTTTCTAGACAGCTGCCTGATTCAATTAGCCAATCATGCTACTGGCAGGTCATTCTTGGTATATCTTAACAGTAATGTTGCTGTCAATAACAGGACTTGAACCTTCACACTGCAATTAATTAAAGAAAGCTGAACATTGCTCCACAGACAGGTGAAAACCTTTAACCTTCTTGCTTTTAGCAAGACCCAAGGGTATTAAAAAAAACACTAGTTAGACCCAATTGTTATCTTTAAGGTTATTTCAATATTTTGTAGCTTAGTAACTGTCTGAAATTTATACTGAGACCACTTGAAGAGCAGTCAAAAAAAAATTCCAGATTTTAGCCCTTAATATCTAGGCAAAAAATTCCAGCTCGTTAAAAATGATCATATCCACTTTTACACTTGTCTTTCCAATGTATACTATGCAAACAGAGAAGGAAATCATAGCATTGGAGCACATCTTCATTTTGGGGGTCTATCAGCTTAGTTGGTTGGATGGCTGGTTTACGATGCAGAGTAATGCTAACAGCACAGGTTCATTTTCTGTACTGGATGAGATCATGCAGGTCCCAGCTTCTCAACTTTGCCCCTTGCCTGAGGCATGGTGTGATCCTCAGGTTAAACCAATGCCAGTTGTCTGTCTGTCTTTCTAATGAGAGAGCAGCCCTATGGTCCACTGGGACAATTGTGACCTTACTTATCCCCATTTATCTTTGGAGAAATGTTACACAAGGTTTCTCTTTAACATTGGATGGATTGGTTAAAATTCATGAGAATAGATTGTCATGGGCAGGTGGGCAATTTCCAATTGCTATCACCTTGTGTGCCTCTGTTACAGAGCAATAGCAATCCTAGATAGAGCAAGGAAGGATCAGATTTTACTCCCTTCCAACACATTTGAGGAATTCGGTGAGAATTTATGCATTAAGAGAAAATGTTTGATGGAAGGGTTAATGCAGCAGTGCTGAAGGTTCTGCAGCCATGTTTATCTGTTCCGCTGTTCTTTTTGTGGCTCTAAACATTATCAACTTCCACTGCATTGAGTATAAATCAAACAACACATAAGGAAGCCATTCAGAAAGAAATGGCCATTCCACCAATTCATCAATTAATCCATTCCCCTAACTTGCTGTGTAGACCTGCACATGTTTCCTTTTCAAGTATTTATCCAATCCCCTGGGAAAGTCAATATTGAATCAGTATCTACCACTTCTTTAGGCAGTTCTTCCCAGTTTGCTGGGAATTTGCTGCATATTTTTTCTCCCAGATTCCACTTTAGGTTCTTTCACCAACCATTCTATATCTGTGGCCTTTTGTTTATCAATTCTTCTGCCGCTGGATAATTTTCTCCTCATTTATTGTATCAATATGTGAAGAGAAAACGATTAAAGAAGACAAATGTAGGTCTTTTACAGTCAGATCAGAGGAAGATATAATGGGGAACAAAGAGATGACAGACCAATTAAGTACATACCTTAGTTCTGTCTTCACAAAGGAGGACACTAATAAAGTGCCAAAAATGTTGAGGAACATGGACTGATGAAAGTGAAAATAAGTATTAGTAGGGAAATAGTAATAGGGAAATTGATGGGATGAAAGGTCAATAAATCCCTGGTGGCTAATAACCTACATCCCGGAGTACTGAAGGTGGCCAGCCAACCCCATGTGAGACTCAGCACAAAGCCAAGAGGCAGATTTATATGGTAAAGAGGAGCTGGGGTGTTGCAGTGGTACAATGTTAGTGTCCCTACCTTTGAGCCAGAAGACCAGTGTTCAAGTCCCATTTGATCCATAATGTGCCTGAACAGGTTGATTGAAATATCTATTTGAGGTCTCTTGTGGCACAGTGCTAATGTTACTACCTCTGAACCAGGGCATCCGGGATTCAAGTCCCATCTGCTCCAATTGTGTGTCATAAATGTCTGTTCAGGTTGATTAGAAATACCTAAAACGGAGTTGATTTTGGAGAGAAGGGTTCAGACCCGAAACGTCAGCTTTCCTGCTCCTCTGATGCTGCCTGGCCTGCTGTGTTCCTCCAGCTCCACACCTTGTTATCTCAGACTCCAGCATTGGCAGTTCCTACCATCTCTGATTTTGGAGAAGGATGTGTCAAAGCCTGCTGACAGGGTTTCAGCACCTTGGAGAGAGGACAAAGCTTGCCAGATTTATCTTTGACAGTGTCTGATATGGGTGTCTGAGTAGGGTTAATCCATCATTTGCATCTCTACATGAGAAGGGTGGGATCACTTGCTTTCTTGATACATGTTATTTACCTAGACTTGGGATGCAGAGCACAAATTCAAAACTTGTAGATGACACAAAAGTTGGATCTATTGTGAGCTGTAAGGAGGACAGTGATAAATTTCAAGAGGTCATAGGCTGACGGGATAGGTAGCCATATGGCAAATCAAATTTAAAGCAGGGGAATGCAAAGTGAAATATTTTTGTAGAAATAACAAGGAGAGGAATACAAAAAAGGTGTAGAATTCTAAAAGGGGTGCGTGTTCACAAATTGCTGAAGATGGCAGGATAGGTTGAGAAAGCGATCTTTGACTTTAGGGTGAACTATGGTGAATTCTGAATTTTAGAAAAAATGTGGAGGCTTTTCAGAGTAAGATTTACCTGAATGTTTCGGAGCTGAGAGACTTTAGCTTTGTGGGTAATTAGAAAAACTGGTTGTTCTTCTTCAAGAAAAGGATGATTGGAAATTTGATGAGTGCATTCAAAATCATGGGAAGCCTGCATAGTGTAAATGGAAAGATTCTGTTCCCATTTATGGAAGGGTCCAGTAGTGAACAATGCTGTTATCAAGAAAAACATGTTTATACAGTGGTTTAAAAACAGAAAATGCTGAAGAAACTTAGCATGTCTGGCAGCCCCTGTGGAATAAGAAACAGTTAAAGTTGAGAGTCCAAAGACTCCCCTTCTGAAGGAGAAAACTGCTAACTGTGTTTCTCTGTGCACAGATGCAGACAGACCGATTGTGTTTCTCCAGACTTTTTTTCTGTTTTATTTCAAATTGCCAGCATCTGCAGTATTTTACTTCTATTTATGCAATAGATGCTTAAGTGTGGAATGCGCTGCCTGAAAGTATAGTGGAGTCAGATACAATTGTGGATTTTAAAAGGAAATTAGATAATTATCCGAAGAGAAAATTTTTTACTGAATTGCTCTTGTACAAAGCAAGTACGTCACAATAGGCCAAATGGCATTCTTATGTGTTGTAGCCATTTTATTCTTCAATGGCCTATTATAACTGGCAGTATTGGCAGTTTTTAACATGCAGTTCTGAATTTCTTAACAACATGACAGAATACAAGAAACATTCTGTTGAATCATATCAGTCTTCGGTGTCTTAGTTCAGAATTCTCTCAAGGTTAACATATAGGTTCAGTTGGCAGGTGGGAAAGCAAATGCAGTGCTAGCATTCATTTCAAGAGGGCTAGAACACAAGAGCAGAGATGTACTGCTGAGGCTGTAAAAGGCTCTGATCAGACCACATTTGGAATATTATGAGCAGTTTTGCGCCCTGTATCCATGGAAGGATGTGCTGATATTTGAGGGGGTCGAAAGGAAGTTTACAGGAATGATCCCGGAGATGAATGGCTTGTCATATGAGGAGTGGTTGAGGACTCCGGATCTATACTTGATGAAGTTTAGAAGGATGAGAAGGGATCTCATTGAAACTTACAGAATATGAGAGGCCTGGATAGAGTGGACATGGGGAAGATGCTTCCATTAGTAGGAAAGATTAGAGCCAAGGGCACAGCTTCAGGGTGAAGGGACATCCCTTCACAACTGAGATGAGGAGGAATTTCTTCAGCTAATACGTGATGGATCCATGGAACTCATTGACACAGGAGGCTGTGAAGGCCAAGTTATTAATGTATTAAGACAGAGTTGGATAGGTTATTGATTAGTAAGGAGATCAAAGGTTATGGGGAGAAGGCAGGAGAATGGGTTTGAGAAACATATCACCCATGATCAAATGGTAGAGCAGTCTCGATAGGCTGAAAGGCGTAATTGTTCTCCTATATCTTATGGTCTATGGTATTATAGTCTTGCACTGTGGATTATGCCTTTGTGCAAGCATGTAGTGTGGCTGCTCATAATTCTATGTTTCTGACACTTTGACTGACTTGCACCTGATCCTTTAATTTTTCAGCTTGTGACTGTCATCCTGTTGGTGCAGCTGGTAAAACCTGCAATCAGACAACAGGACAGTGTCCATGCAAGGATGGTGTGACTGGCATCACATGCAACCGTTGTGCTAAGGGTTACCAACAGAGCCGATCTCCAGTTGCTCCTTGTATCAGTAAGTCTTTCTTTGTTTGTTGCTGTTATTGCTACAGCAGATAGAGACTCAGTCAAGACAGTCATCAATATACTTTGAATGAGGAACAGGTCAGAAGAAGTATGTCTTTATACCCCAGCTACACCTTGCCTAACCCCCTTACACCCAGGACCTGGATTCTCTCTCTCTCCTACATCTGCAGGCTCAACCCAACCCAGAGCCCCTCCCCATGTTGAACCAGACATGACCCTCCCCCAGTCCTGACAAGTAGACACCTCTACAACTATAAGCTGTCTGATCCAGAGTTTGCTAAACTGCTCCAATACTCTTATGATGCTTGCATCACTTGACAATGTGGAAGATTGCCCAGATATGTCCTACCTACTAAAAGTAAACATTTACACAGTCCATTGTCCCAAACATTAGCAAAGTGATAGAAGAGGTTATATTTAGTATAATCAAGTACCTCCTAATCATCAATAACCTGGATTACAGCAGAACTGCTCGTCTGAAGACCTTAGAACAGCTTTAATCCAGACGAGAAAACAAGAGGTAAATTCAAACACTGAGGTGAGAGTCACAGCCCTTGACAGCAAAGCAGCATTTGACTGAGTATAGCATCATATAACCCTACGATTAGCAAAGGCAACCAGACAGGTTAGGTGGAAGGGCAGGGGGTGTGCGGGTATGGAGGGTTTGGTCAAAGCGTCAAAACACAACTTCAGTATTTGGAATCACGCCTGTTGGAAAGGTAAATGGTTATGGCTGATGGAGACCAATCATGTAAATTTGAGACAATGCAGCAGGAGAAACATCCTCAAAGAAACATCCTTGGTCCAGCATTTTAGCTGCTTCACCCATGACTTACCTCCATCAGGTGTTTAGGAGTCGGACTATTGTCAATTTACAATGTTCAATTCTACTCATGATTCCTTTGATATATTGAAACACTTATTGCAATCTATTCTAAGATCTGGATATTATGCAGGCATGGGGTTGTCATCACATATACATAGCAGATAATGACCAGCATGTAGAAAAGTAAACGCAGCCATCTTCCTTTGATCATTAACAGCAACTTCATAACCAAGATCACACCAACAAGACCTTGGAAATTACCGTTTACTGAAAACTAATCTCAGCCAACCATATTAATGGAGAACATGCAAAAGGAGAAGACGAATAGCCTGGTATTATGTTTCATATTAGAATCAGTGGCATAGGTAGTAAAAGGAAAGGGTGATGCAGGCAGACTTTAGGGAGCTAGAGTTGAACAAGCAAGCAGGACCTCAAAGCTTTTTTAATTTCTGGATTGCCCACACTGCCACATATCAGTGAGAATGGAGATTAAGAGATAGAGCAGATAAAAGTGTAATTGGAGAGATGGTGCAGGAGGGAGGGATTGACATTCCTGAGACATTGGGACCAGGGAAGTGGGATCTGTAAAACTGATAAGATGCATCATAAAACAGCAGAAACGAGTGTTTTACTTTGTCATATAACATTAATTTGCACAGATTTTTCTTTTAACAATGCAGAATAATATTCTTATTGCTATTAATTGTGGCCAATCAGAGACTGGAAGTTCTCCAGTACTAGTACTGCCACTTGGAGTGGTGTCCATTGCTAATACTACTCTCGGGCCTGCAAGAGGGAGTAGTGATAGATCCTGAGGTAGAGGTGAGTGTGGAATTGGAGTCATGTGTGATAGAGTTTGGAAGCAATTGCTGTCAGGGTATTTTTCAGCAGGCTTCACCCAGCTCCCTAACACTGTGTCCCTTGATCAGACAGAGTGCCTGTGAACCTCCTTCTGGTTGGTTGAGAGGATTTGCTTGGCGGCATACCAGCATGACAGGTCCAATAACAGCAGCAGTGAGATGAGGCCCTTAGGGGCCCTTAAGGATGGTGTTTCCACAATCCAGGGGATTTGGGAAGTTTACATACAATGCAGCCACTATCTCTGCAGCCTCTCCTTTAACACCCAAGGATGCAGACCACTGGGCACAGATGACTTATTGGCTTTTAGTACAATTTTCCTTTTTTTTTACTAGCGATGGTGATTGCTTTAAATTCCATGCTGCTCTTTGCCCATCTTTTTAGTTTTTGTTTTGTTTATTGTTTGGATGCTTTTCACATCTTCAAAGATATTTAGGAATATAGGCCAAAGATAGGTGTATGGAGTTACACCACAGACCAGCCATGATCTCATTGAATGGTCGAACAGGCTCCAGGCGCTGAATCGCCTACTCCTGTTCAGTTCTCCTACGTTCCAATGCCCTGAAGACAAACACAAAAAGTATCATCTCTACCATTTCCTTGTGTCCCTTTATTCCAACATCTCATCCTATAACAGATCAAGGTTTACCTTAGCTGGTCTCTCGCTTCTTATATACTTGTAATAGCTCTTTGTGCCTGTGTTTAGATTCTTTGCTAGTTTACTATCAATCTACTTTTCATCATTTTTTTTATTAGTTTACCTTTGAATCTCCTCTCAACCTTGCCTAATGGGGCAAGCTCGTCTTCTTCAATCCACCTAAAAATTGAACTCCCTCAAGCCTGGAATCATTCTCCTAATCTTTTGTGCACCCTTTCTATGCTTTCACTTCCTCCCTATAATTTCATGTCCAGCATTGGACATAATACTGGGAGTAAAGGTCAAACCAGCATTTATAACAGTTTTATCATAACTTCCTTCCTTTTGTAAAATAATGTCAGAAATGAGTCCCTCTCTATATTCACTGTGCCATAATAAGCATTTGAAACAGCTACTTTACTCTTCACAGTCTACTAACTTCCCAGCAGCAGGTTATAAAGACAACAGCCTGAAATGTGTTCCTTGAATCATTATTCGAATACTGCGATCATGAGAGAGCAGTAATCTTAAGTATGGCTGTTGAACCATCCTCTCTGATGTAGGATGCCATTGCTGTCCTAGAACTAGTGCTGTACCAATTTGTGCAGATTCAGGATGACTTGTCAGACAGTCCAGTCAACTCTGTGAATTACAGCCTGAGGCCACCCATTGTCCACTTGCTGTGCTAGCTAACAGATCACTATCAGTGACTGTGCCCTGATATTGCAAGTCTCCAGCCTTTGTGCAAAAAAAACCCATAAGAACCAGGGGCAGGAGTAGACCATCTGGCCCTTTGAGCCCACTCTGCCATTCAATAAGATCATGGCTGATCTTTTCCTGGCCTCAGCTCTACTTACCCACCCTGCCACAATGATTCATTAATTCCTTTACTGTTCAAAAAATTATCTATCTTAGCTTTAAAAACATTCATTGAAGAAGCCTCAACTACTTCACTGGGCAGGGAATTGCACAGATTCACAACCCTTTGCATGAAGAAGTTCCTCCTGAATTCAGTCCTAAATCTGCTCCCCCTTATTTTGAGGCTATGCCCTCTTGTTCTAGTTTCATTCACCAGTGGAAATATCCTCCCTGCTTCTATCTTATCTATTCTCTACATAATTCTATATGTTTCGATAAGATCCCCCCTTCTTTCTTCTAAGTTCCAATGAATATAATCCCACTCTATTCTATCTCCTCAAGCCAACCCTCTCAACTCTGGAATCAACCTAGTGGATTCCTCTGCACCCCCTCCAGTGCCAGTATACCCTTTCTCAAGTAACGCGATGAAAACTGCATGCAGTACTCATGGTGTGGCCTCACTAGCACCCTATACAGCTGTAACATAACCTCCTTAATTTTAAACTCCATCCCTTTATAATGAAGGACAAAATTCCATTTGCCACATGAATTACCCGTTACACTTGCAAACCAACCTTCTGCGATTCATGCACAAGGACACCCAGGTCCCTCTGCACAGCAGCATGCTGCAATTTTTTTACTGTTCAAATAATAGTCCCTTTTTACTGTTATTCCCACCAAGATGGATGACTTCACATTTGTCAACATTGTACTGCATCTGCCAGACCTTTGCCCACTCACTTAAACTACCTATATCCCTCTGCAAATTTTCTGTGTCCTCTGCACGCTTTGTTCTACCACTCATCTTAGTGTCATCCGCAAGCTTTGACACACTACACGTGGTCCCCAACTCAATCATCTTTGTAACTTGTAAACAATTGTGGTCCCAACGCTGATCCCTGAGGCACACCACTAGTCACTGATCGCCAACCAGAAAAGCACTCATTTATCCACACTCTTTGCTTCCTGTTAGTTAACCAATCCTCTATCCATGCTAATACATTGCCCGTAACGCCACGCACCTTTATCTTATGCAGCAGCTTTTTGTGTGGTAATGTAGTAAAGGTAAAGCAAAGATAAAGCAAACCAAAAAATGTACAAAAGTTGCCTGTGCCATGTTATCTCATTTTAGTTTGTGTGGTTAGTCTCTGAATCAGATACAGTGTTAGCATTTCTTAAAATGAAATTTCTTGTAAAATGTCCCTAATTGAATTGCAGAAATAGTGGTTCTTGGTGTCACCCTTGCTGTCAGGAAAGTGACAGAGAATGATTTCTGCAGGTATCCCAACCCACTGTCTCGTAACTGAAGCAACCAATTGGTATACAAATAGAATGTTCCTTTCTTGTCAAAAGCAAACCAATATTGTTTGACAGTCGGTTTGATAAACTTCATCAATGGTTTATTTAATCTCTAACAGGTCGGAGCTCTTTATAGAATCTTCTGGCAGGATCTTCTGAACCAACCTGGATCTTTTAGAAGGGGAGAGGCAAAAATTCTGTTTCCTGAAGGCGGATTAAAGTTTCGCTGTTACCTACTCAGAACCTTTCAGTTGGGTTGGCTTTCCTGAACTTGATGGTCAGGAACTCTTTTGTATTCATTATTACATCATGAATACTTGTTAACACCCTTGCTTGTTGGAATTACATTAATTGGCACAGTCCTGTTAGCTTCCAAAAGGAAACATCGGTTCACAAACCTGACTATATATGCCAGGTATGTACTTGGTGGAGTAAACTTCTTCCTCCAAGCTCCATAAGTGCAAATTTTGTTCATAACTAAGCCCCTTTCATAACTAAATCAATTATTTGC